AGCGGTTTTTTCAAAAATTCATAACTTTTTTTGAGTCGGGAAAAAAAATTTGAAAAAATTCTGAAAAATAACTTTCGGGGGGTAGAAAAAGATAGAAAATTTTCAGCGAAATCAAAGGGGGTCAGGTAAAAAATTTGTCGATTTGACATGGAATGACCCATATGCACTCGTATATTCTTCCTTATTTAAATGTGTATTCAAATATGTATATAAGGTAAAAGGAAAGGTATATGAGAAGTATATACCTTAATCGATAACTCTACGAATTTCCATGTATCGATCACACAGCCTGCAAATATAAATTCGTAGTACAACGTGCCCTTATTTCTTGTGCCCATTCTTAAGATATTCTCAAAAGCGTGCACGTAATAGCGACACGTAATAGCACACGTACCTTCGTTCTTCGATGCGTGACACATAAACGTTAAGATTGGTGTAAAAATAGTGACAATTTTGAAGTTCTTAATTTAATCAATTAGGACAAATTATTGCGTAGAAAAAATTCCTTTTCAATTAACATAGCAAATCTATAATTTCCATGTTACAAGTTTTAAATATTATTCAAAGTAAAGTAATCGATTATTAATTAATCTTAAAACTTAGAAACTTTGAACCCACTGTGTACGTGTACCTGGTATACTTCCGTTACTTGATATTTATTACAACGATGAATAAAAATAACCATATAATGGAAGTATAATTAAAACAACACAGAACCAGAGAGAGAGAGAGAGAGAGAGAGAGAGAATAAGAGAGCAATTTCGTTTTGCGAAACGATATGCAATATTCCATTGCAAATGGTCGGAATATAAATACGAGGTGGTCGTCACGTGAACGAGTAAAAATCTCGTAACGACGTTGGATTATTACAGAAAATGACTAGATTCGACAAAAAATATAATTTCTTCGCGAGCAAGTACAACATATAAGTGACAGAAAATTCCTTGGACGATTTGTAAAACGAAATTGGAACGTAGCCACGTATGCATGTTATTTGAATATTCTTCGTCTTAAAAAGAATAGAAAATGAGCAAAACAAAATGAGAAAGAGAAAAGAAATAATAGGAGAAAAAAAAAAGTCGATATCTTTGAATAGTAGAAGATTTAAATGCATCTTTTTTGAAAAGTAATTGTAATACTTACTGTTCAAACGTGTTCGCAGATTTTCTATTATAAAGAAAGTAAGTATTATATATGTAAGTACTTGTATTTTACTTGCACACGCGCACACGCTCACACACTACATATATATGTAGACATAGATAGATGCTATCGTCGGGTTAACGAACGTTCGATCGATGTGTGTATATGTGCAAGGCCGGAAGAAAAAGAGGGTGGTGGTGAAAAGATAGGTGAAAGAGAGAAGGATAAGAAGAAGGCGGGTTTGAGGGGGAAGGTGAGTGGAGTGGGGGATGCAATCAGGTGTGGGTGAGGGTTTGGGGTGGGAACTGGGGGCTGAAGGTATGAGTAGATGATAAGAGGGAGATCAAAAGAAGCAATCGTTGCCGGAGTTGAAAGACGCGCTTTGACTTTTTACGTGAAAAACCTACCAGCTGCCTTGCCTTTCTTCTTCTATCCGTCCTCCTTTCTTTTTTCTTCTCCCTTTTTTTTTATTTACAACACTACCACCACCACCTTTTATATGGTATTCACATTTTCTTCCTTTTATTTTATCTATTTTTCATTGTTTTCTACTATACTATTCACGAATTATATCTGTGGTTAGAAACAACTGTGTTTTGTCTCGTAACCTCAGAGTTTATGAACGAACAAATTCAATTGTTTAATATATCTTATATTATACTGATGCAATGATATATAAGCCGTTTATTTTGAAAGTGGCATAAGTCACTTTTTCAAAAAAAAACCGAATTAATGTAGAAAACTAATTACAACTTTCATTTCCAATAAAAAAAAAAAAAGAAAAACAAAGTGACTTATGCCACTTTCAAAATAAACGGCTCATATATATATAAGATTGTATATTATAATAATTATAAAAAAGGTAGTATGAAAAAGGGTATGAAAAAGGGTGTGAAAAAGGGTGTGACGGATGTAAGAGAATCAGAAAAAGTGAGAAACTTATGTACCTGCTTGAAGCCTCGATACATAACACGAATCTCTTGCCTCGAGAACTTGGTCTGTCTGAGTAGTTCCTCGAGGGCTACCGGTCTGGTGGTTTGTTGTCTCGCCCTCGTACTCTCGAACTCGAAAAGAGCCTCTTCCGGTCCCGGCGAGTCCGGTGGTGTCGCCATGACCTTCGCTTTTCTCTTCTTCTTCTTCTTTTTCTTATTATTATTATAATAATTTTATTTCTATTTTATATCCCTTTTTAATTTCGCTTTCCTTTTTTCCCTATAGGTTAGTTATTTTAAGTAGATTTATGTTTTCGGTCGCCATTAAAGACCAAAATCCCAGCTACTTCTCTGATTTTTCTCGGGATGTGTTATTATGAAAAAAGTCTTTTTTTTTTATATATATCTTACGATATCGTTCGAGTATGGGAGCTTAATTTTTGTTATTTAAAATTTGTAAATTTTCCGTTTTATAGTATTTCCTCCGTTCTGTGGCATCTTTAATTATTCGCTCGTATCGATCTCTTCATTGCGGTTGACCTCCGTGATGACCTCTGAAAGATTGATTCTCATCGATGCTCGTAATATGGCGTTAATATCTTTTCGAAAAATAAAAAGAACACAAAAGTTAATAAAAAGGAAAAAAAAATTAAAAAATCTATAATGCATATAGAACTTATGATCGATCGTATAAAAGCAAGCGTGTGCGAATGTTCCTTAAAGTATACATACACGCATATACACATAGTTATCTATTTCTCTCTATATGGCATGACCCTAATATCTGTGTATACACACGAGGATGAAGAAAGCACGGGGAAAAAGAGAGAGAGAGAGAGAGAGAGAGAGATGAAAGAAAACATGGTCGAGCCTTAATCCTGACCGCGGACAAATAAAAATGCGAAGGGAGAAATAGTTGGTGAACCATAAATAACACGGGTGCCAATAAATTCTATTCGTTTGCTTCGCCTCTTATTTTCTCTTATATATTTTTATTTTATTCTTTCCAATGTTGTTTTACATTTTTCCTTTTTTCTTTCTCTCTATGTATAACCACTATCTTATTTTAAAGTTCTTTCAACCACCATATTACCTAAGTCTAAATAAAATGTATACAAGATGGAGCATTTAACATCGGTATACCTATTAATCGATTTATTACAAACTGGAATCGACTAATGTAATCAAAAACGTACGATTCTATTTTTAAAATATAATGATTACATCGAAATCATTTGTAAAAATATAAACTTGAAAATAAAATATCATTACTACGTATATGACTCGTTCAAACACTAACTCGATTCTAAAAATATTTTCCATAAAATCATAAATAACAGACATATTTAAATGTTTTACTTTATCCATATATAATTATTTACTCTGATTTTCAAACGAAATTATGAAAATGATTAAAATTTATTTCATTGACTTTTTATTTGTTTTCTTGGTCATTTGCTTTTCTGTTTTTATTCTCAGAAATGTATTTAAATAAGATAAATTAATATTTTGATTTTTACGATTGAGATTATTTGATTTTTCGTGATCGAATAATAAAATATAAAAAATGAATTCTGAACATAGGAAATAGAGAGAATACAAGATTACACGTGCGTTATGCGTTCATTGAGCGATCATCGGAGTTCATGGCCGAAACATTTATGACCGTAAGAGACGGCTCGAGTCACGCTGCATTTACATGTATGCGTATATGTATGTATACGTATATATCATATATTATTTATAGATATATACAAAAAAGCAAAACATATTTTGAAAGATGATGGCGACAATAAAATATTTAACGTCAAACAAGAATAATTAAACGAACAAAAATATACAAAATACAAATTAGATAATTTCGAAAATGTTCCAATTAAAAAATGACAAAATTCAAATGATTCAAATTATTATTATCATATATCGAATAAAATATATATATGAAAGAAGGAATATAATAAGGAAATAACAAAATGTAGAATTATTTGAAGTAATTGAATGCCATGAGAGTAACAGAACGGAACGTAACGAAACATGTACCTGCGCAAAGATAGATGGAATTTCTCTCTTGGCTCCTCTTCTCTCTCTTCTTCTCTCTTGTAATATATATTACACTTCTTTCACGATGTGAAGACTACTATTTTCTAAAATATTAATTGCAAAAGAAGAATCGATCTTCCCATCCCTTCGACATTGTTACCTTCCTCTTATCTTCTATCACTGTAATTCTCAATTTGATAACAATTCCCAAATCACTTTTTTCTCTCCCTCTTTCTATTTCACTTTATCACTCTAAACTAAAAGAGAGCTATGAACGATCAAGTTTTTCTAACGTACAAATTTATTTATAGGTTCATTTAATAATAATAATAATAATAAATAAAAAACATCGTTAATAGTGAATAAACGAAGGATCAAATTGTTCTTCTTCTTCTTCTTCTTCTTCTTTACTCTAAATCGATTCGTCACACACGATTGAGAATATATATCATGTTAGTTTAAATGAAAAAAAATGTCCATAAATTTTCGTGAGCCTTTTTGAATAGAATTCTATCGAATAATTGAAGATAGAGAAAAAGAAGAAATTAAACGACGTCTCGAGAAGATATCGAAATGAAAAAAAATCTCCTTCGAATGAAAAAGGAGAAGATAATGGAAAAATATACACGAACCGATCGACTACGCGGCCGGCGGTACACTGACTGCCCGGGTAGAGCGCGCCGTAGGACGCTTGCCCATCTCGCCACGCGCCGCCACGCGCTGCGTCGACCAATCAACGTTCCCGCTTCCCTAAGAACCTTAACTCGATAACCAATCGGTATTCGTTCTCGTTTTAACATTTTATTCTTTATCGAAAATTATATCGAAGCCCGAATAATGTAAATAAGAGAAAATTCTTTAGTTCGTTTAATTAATCGAAATTAAAGTATTCGATTACTTTAAACTAATTTCATATGGAACATCTTTTTACCAATTTTAATATATATATATATATA